GTTAGGGGTGGGGGATCCAGCACTGGAGGACGGGCGCGCTCTTACCTTTCAGAGACACCCAATAGTGCTTCCACTTCCTCCGGGTGGCCGACTCCACCTTCTTGTTCTTCTTGTGCACCAGAAAGTTCTTGACGGCCAGGGCACCCGCCTTGCGCACGGTGCCCTGAGCCGCGGTGAGCAGGATATCCGACTGGCCCGGGGAGCTCAGGGTGCCGCTGCTCTGCTCGTCGCTGTGCGCCGAGCCCGCCTCCTCCAGGCTCTCGCTGTTGGTGGTGCTCATCTCCAGCTCCCGTCGGAAGTTCTCGTACACCCCCTGGCGCGCCGCATCCCCGGTGGAGCTGCTGCCACTGTCGCTGCCCACGAAGGCGCGGCCGGTGGGGGGCGAGTAGCTGGAGTTGGTGGCATTGGATCGCCTGGACAGGAGGTCCGTGTCGGTGGTGGCCCCTTCGATCCCACTGTCTGCAAACTCGCTGCCCTCGCCCGCGTTAACATCCTTGGGAGATGAAAGGGAGAAAAACGAAGACATGCATCACGCAGAATAGTAACCCAGGAGTTGCTGGTCCAGAGGCTGTGTAGCTGCAGGAGACTCAGCCTCTCTCCAGGACCAATCACTCCTCACACCCGGGCCCCACACAGACCCACAGAGTGCCTCGGGGAAAACCATTAAGCCACCCCAGGACAAATGTGAACAGTTTGAAATGTTCAAGAAATATAAAAGAAACAAGGAACACTTCAAAGAGCTTCTCATTTGTTTGACTTAGATAATTAACTAATTGGCAAATCAGCTATTGAGATTCTCCCACCACCATGCTGAGAGCCCAGCGCCTTCACTCTCATCAACCCTTCACTCTCATCAACCCGCTTGGAACGCTGGGAAATTCTGCAGGCTCATTAGTTAGTTGTTCGGAGGTAGGGGGCTACAATGGATAACAAGGTCTTTACAGCTGATACTTTTTTTTTATTTAATTAATGGGCATGGTTAAGAGACTATTTTATAGATAGCTAGTGCACCGCCTCACCCACTCACCCAGCAAGGACTCACATCCCAGGAGCCGGCAAGAGTCCTCATGCCCTAATCAGCTTCGCTTCTGAAAACAAGCAGCCTCTCACTCCGCATGGAGCTAAATAAGTCCATAGGGCCCACAGCTCCAACGCAGGCTCTCCAATTACCCTGCCCTTTCAAAGCTGGGATGCTAGGAGCCCGAAGCAAGCTACTCACTGCCCCTGGGCCAACTGACAGCTTGGGGCACTGCCAAGATGCTGGGGGTATCAGTTCCCAGTTTCAACCCACTTGGAACTTCCAAAGCACTGCCCCTGCTCTCAAGTTGAACATTTCCGGGCCACTGACAGGTCTGTTCTCAAATCAGAATCTTAATTGCTCTGGAGTGCTACAGGCATCTCCATAAACAATAATTAAATAATGGTAGTAATCAAGAGAGGGTAATGATAGCAGTGCTGGACAGGACAGCTCGACGGTCTTATGGACAAGAAATTAGACTGATGTTTCTCAAAGAAGAGAAATGGATGTGAGTGACACAGAAGAGGTGTTAAAGTAATATATGGTTTGGGGTTTAACCAGTTTTTGAGCCTTTGGTCTCATAAGTAGCTAATTATGGTTTGAAAATGTAAAAACTAACTGCCAAATAAATGAATACTTTGGGCTTAAATCTTTGCTGAGAGGCAACAGGGCAGAACCAAGCCACAAACTAATATTGTCCTGCATGAGGCCGGGACAGGTGTTGTGCCCATATCTCTGCACATCTCATTCAGTCAGTCCTCACTTAGGGCCCTAGAGGTTCACTTTCACCATGAATAGATGCTAAGCGAGCAACTAAAAGATGAGCATAGCCAGACATGAAAACAAGCAAGAGGAAATACCGAAAGACACATACTGTATGATCCACTTATGTGTGGAGTCCACATATCCCGAACTCATAGAAGCAGAGAATAGAATGGTGGTTGCCAGGGGGTGGGGGAAATGGGAGATGTCGGTCAAAGGGTACAAACTTCCAGCTATAATGTTACTAAGTTCTGGGGATGTAATGTACAGTGTGGTGACTATCGTTAATAATAGTGTATTGTAAACTTGAAATCTGCTAATAAAAAAGTAGATCCTAAATGTTCTCACCACCAAAAAAAGGCAATTAAGTTGATCGTAGTTATCATTTCACAATTTATATGTTTATTAATCATCACACTGTACATCTTCCAAAAACAAACAAACAAAAAGAACAGTACGCAAAGGGTGGAAAGAGTAAATTTACAATGAAGAACCTGGTAAATACTACCTCGGCCAGGTGCTCAAGGTTAACTGGGTGTGGGATATATAGGAACCCTTTCTACTTCCTAAAACTGTTATAAAAATAACAATAAAAGAAATAAGAGGAAGGTAAGAGGGGATGATAGTAACAGGAAGTAGTTACGAAAGCTTCCAAGGACCAGCCACATTTCCAATGGATTTAGAGGGACCCAAGAAGACAAAGAAACAGTGGATGCAGCTCAGATGCAGAGCCCTGTGACTGCCAGTCCCAGCAACTTTGCTATCTGCTGCCCTGCCTATTACCTCTATATAGATGGATGTGAAAGAGCCAGATCCAGCGGGTAAATATCCTCTATATAAACAGGAGAACACTGTTATCAAGTCACATTTCTCCTTTGCTTCCCTTTTGATACAAGACTACAAGTACATGTGACCATCACTGATTATTCAAGATAACCATGAGTAGTGGGAGATGAGGAGCTTATCAATTTCCCAAACTTCTGGATTTATCTTCATCTGGCCCAGTCCTTCTCTGAAGAAATGAAGGAATCTACCAGAAACTCTCCTCTAAAATGCAAAGAGGTCAGATGCTTCTCTGTAAGGCAGAGAAAGATAAGCTACACAGGTAACCACTGTAGCCCACAAGAGAAAGACTTCAGAACAAAGGAGAGGCTTGACTCTAGGAATTTTTCATTCCCACAGCCTAGATCAGGAAGGAACCTTGCAAAGCCATCCCCTTAGTTAATGAATGAGGATGCTGGAGGAGAGGCTTGACTCTAGGAATCTTTCATTCCCACAGCTCTAGATCAGGAAAGAACCTTGAAAAGCCATCCCCTTAGTTAATGAATGAGGATGCTGGGGCTCAGAATGTCACAAGCGTGGCTGGTAGCGGACTGGAGGTTGGAACTCATGCGTCCAACTACTAATTATATGGTGGACCCATCACTCAGCCGCAGGTCACATCGGATCAGGTTCTACCTCAATTGTCAACTCCATGCCTTCCTCCTTTGCTTGCCAACAATGGCCCTTCTAGGTTTTTCTAGCAAAAGCTAAGTGGCTGGTCATCTGTTTGCCTTGACTTGCCCAGAAAAGAGCTCAAAGCTGAAAAAGTGGTGGGAAAGAGGAGGAGATGCAAGAAGACGAAGGAAACAGAGGTGGAGACCAGATAGCCAAACCCTCAAGAACATGTCTCTTATCAGTCTACTCCATTCCCACAAACCATTCACCCCTTTACAGAATGCCCTGAGATCTCTATGGAAACTAAGAGGTAACTCCTTCATAGACACTCACCTCTTTGTCAGAACTGAACATCTGCCCATACCAACTGACGCTGTAACCTTGCAACAACCCAGACTGTGTGTATTCGACTCTGGAACGGCCAATAACCTGAGCAAAGGAATGATCACTCCGGGTAAGAGGCCTGCTGGCCCCAGCCGAGCTTGGCACTTTTAGAGCACACAACTCAGTGTAACCACTGGGGAATGCTCTCCACAAGTGATCCGAGCCAGCTCCACTTTATCTCCTCAAGTGGTTAAGCAGGCTCAGAGGTACACATCTCCTCATTAATATGTGACCAAGCCTGCTGGGAGGCCCAGATCTGGGCCCTATTTGGTCATGAAGCTTGCGATGTCCCAAATACCCAGAAACCTGTGCTCTAGCATCGTGGGAAATGATGATGACCCATCGTGGGAAATCATGATGACTACTCGACACGTGAATGGTCAACAAGGGCTCCGCGTCCCACCGCCAGCCACCTCCACTCCAGGGTGGGAAGAATCCTCTATAGTAGGACCGCTCTATCCAGACGCTTAAGTACCACACGAGAAATGCACATTTGTAAGTCTCAGAACCTGCAGGACACATGAAAACCAGATACTCTCATGTAGAGGCTCTAGGGTCACAACTCGAAAGCCACCATCTGCCCCTCTGAGGCTGTACCCGAATACGCATCATTCTCAGATGCCAGGCTGCGTGCCACTGTATGATTTCGACAGCTCAGAGGAAAGGCAGCATCACTACGATGCCAACATTCCTCGTGGTCATCTTCCTGAAGCGCTCTTCCTCCTCCTCACCTCCGTCTCAGACACGTCCCACCTGAGCAACCTGATTCTCCCTGCACTTGGAACCCCGCCCCCCGACTCTTCCCCACAGACGGAATCCAGGAGGAGAGTCCCACGGGAGCCCCAGCGGTCTTTGTAGCAAAAGCAAGGTATGTTCTTTCTTATCCAGTTAGACATCTTAGCATCTGATTGGTCCTAGCCTATTGAACCAAATACTGAATTTTAACCCAAAAGTCAGAAGCGATCAAGGAAAATGGTAAGACCCGAGCTAGACAAAGTAACTCCCAACATGGAGCGTGATCCGGTCAGCGATATCCTGAAAACAGCTCAAAATCAACTCTCCGTGTTAGAAACACTCCATTGAAGAGGCTTCTGATTATAAACAGCATTCATGGGGGGTAGAGGCTCTAAAGCCTCCGCTCCCAGGACGAATCCTCCCAGGCAGATTTTGAGCGCACTCATCAGATGCCATTCCATTGGCAGTTCCCCAGCATGAGCATATATCTGCTTTCCTACTAGAGGCACAAGTGGCCAGCTGTAGCTCAGAACATTCAACAGCTGCTGGGCAAGAGTCTTCCTAGTCATTTTAGCTGGGCAACGAATGCTGAAATCAGCTCCAGTACTAAAACGGAGGAGGGAAGAGGCAAATTCAAAGCCTGTTTTCACTGCCTTGAAAACCGGAGGGTCACCTGACACATTGTGGCAAAGCTCAAGTTGTTAACACAGGCGACTTACAAACACAAGTGACCCTCGAACAACAAGGGTTTGAACTGAGCAGGCCAACTGATACGCACATATTTTTTTTTCAGTAAATACTATAAATGTACTTTCTCTTTCTTATCATTTTAACATTTTCTCATCTCTAGTTCTTTTTAAAAAGTGTATAATATATATAACATATAAATATGTGTTGAGCGACTGTTTATGTTATTGCTAAGGCATCCAATCAACAGTAGGCTATTAACAGTTAAGTTTAGGGAGTCAAAAGCTATACATGGATTTTCAGCTGAGCAGAAGGTTGGGCACCCCAACCCCCACGTTGTTCAAAGGTCAACCGTACTGAGGGACAGGTTTTGTGTGTTAATGATGAGTGAACGCAATTTTGAAAAGGTAACTAGCCACGAAGTTCGAGGGCCCCGGGATAATTCAGAAACCAGCAGGACCAATTGGCCA